ACACACTCTCTCTCTCACACACACACACACACTCTCTCTCTCTCTCGGTCTCTCACTCTCTTAAGGAATTAATTTACTTACTGTATGTTGTGTGTTTTGTTTGTGATGTCATATGTTTGTCATCATGGATTGAGGCCATAGCAGTGCTGCCATTCACACACACACACATAAACACAAACAGAGAGAGTTGGCAGAAGTGTGCGATACAGCACTGCCTCGGGTTAGTCTGAATTATTCATGTCTAAGAGGCCTTATAAGCACACAACTGTCTTTTCTCTGTTTTAAACTCTCATGCAGATTTATGACAAAATTAATTTAGCAGAAGACACACATGCATATCTCTCACTGATTAATCACCTCAGCTGGACATTTGTACAGTACACATGTATGAATCCAGATGTTGAGACAGTTACTCAGCCACTGGAGGGCGCTATCACACGAACATCACAGACAGATAAAATAAACATTACAACAGATATTGCTTATGATTCATTTGCCACATTGCAAATAACAAATAAAGTCAGAAACATTGCATTGTGGGATACTTACTAAAATGTATATAGTGTGCATTCTAGAACACTCTTAATTTTTTTTAAGAACAATATAAAAATTGCAATTGCTGATCATGATTTGAGAAACTGCATTAGAATTATTGCACTTTTACCTATAAGCATAAGCATACATATGGTTTATTTGATCTAGTTTCCTGATTATTATATTATCATAAATATAAACACACTTTTTACGTTATGAAAACCCAAAAAACTCAAGCACGAAAACAATGGAATTCCTAATTGTATTTCTAGTCATGTATTTCTAATAAAATGGCAAAATGGGAATTTGTATTGTTACTTTGTATTGTGCTTGCATAAGTGCATTTATAGTCCAGAATAGTGTATGCAAATATTTAAAATAAAGTCTATATCATGCCTGGATTTATTATTAAACTCTAAAGCTTATGATATTTTCATAAGCTTTCTTTCTTTCTTTCTTTCTTTCTTTCTTTCTTTCTTTCTTTCTCTCTCTCTCTCTCTCTCTCTCTCTCTCTCGTGAAGGATGGCGTCTCGCAGCAGTTTTCTGGGTTCACGCACAGAAGCGTATCTCTCATTAACACATTAGTAGGGCTCCTCTCAAGACAAATTGCTCTTTAGCAGGGCCAAACCACAAACATGAATAAAGTGACCTAGTTAGAGCAGAACCACAAGCAGCCATTCCAGTGTGCATGCATGTTTGTGGCCAGTGTAATAACCATCATTAAATAAAGTCTAATGTTTGCTGGAGGTGTGCTCATGAATGCAGGTAGAGCGATTAGTCACCATCCATTACAGTCATTTGACCATGAGTATTGTCAAGAACATAACCTGGGTCATACAATATTTCACCACTGAACTAAAATAAAATAAGAAATTAGGAAAGCACTTTAATGTGTTCTTGTTACATGTATTTACTATAGTAGTAACAGTAAATTATGCATAATTACAGGCACTAAAACCAAACTCTAGTAAGTGTCTAGTAATCCTATAGTAAGTGTATGTTGTTAATGAATATTATTTTGCACTAGTTCTGTACTCTGTGCAATCAAAACAAAGACACATTAAAATAAAGTGTGACCAAAATTTGATTTCACATTATATACACATGTGCACATATAATCTGAAAGCTAGTACATGGCTATCCATATGAAAAAACAGATGTTCAATAAATAATGAAGCTTTACTATGGGCTGTTTACAGTTGCTAAGCAATGCAGTAGCTTCTTTGTGCATTAATAAAGAATTCAGCTGATGTGCGGTCACAGGTGAACTTATATCAGCTTCACTTTAACAGCTTTGAATGGCACTCATCCTCTTAACGATCTGTATAATATAACAAATTGGAATTTGTTGTATTTGCACATGAATACATTAATCCTTCAAAAAAAATCGAATTGGTCCATTTCATTTTATTTTATTTCATTTCATCTTCTTCATTTCATGGTC